CTTGAAGACAGTCGCAATAACCAATTCTCTCCCTTCCTCCCCACTTACCCCTTTCCGAAAGTCCTCTTCTAGGGTTCCAGATATCGTATAGAAACAGAAGTCTCAGAAGCGCGTGTACACGTATGGGAACAAAATCTGTCGGAAAAGAGACACTAAAAGTGCCTGCTTAATTTCATTCGTTGGCATTTTAAAAGTGCCAGCAAATGGTTTTCAATTTAAATAAAGGCTTCTTGAATATAAAAAATGTAGCTGCTGTTGTAGAAACCATTAAATTAGCACACTGCCTAAAGACTGGTTTATTAGTAGAAATTTTGAGCTATTATAATAATAGTTTGCAATAATAATTCGTCCTCCGCGAACACAGCCACTGTAGAAAACAAAAACTGCGAGTCAGAACTTGAATTGTTTTTTACTTTTAAGCTGGCTTAAATTTTATTTAGAAGTCTTTTTAGACTAACAAGTTAATCCCCAAAACATGAAGCCGTATAAAAAAGATTAGAATAAACTCAATTCATCTTACGTACATGAGACCTGATAAGTGAATGTTTATAATCACACAACTAAACTTTAAATGATTTATTATAAATAGCAATATGATTGATTCCAAAGCACCAAAATATAGATTTAACGAGGTTTTTCACAGTGCCGTAAATTATGTCTTATAAATCACTACTGATAAAAAATTAGTAGAATCAGCTGCATTTATTTCAACACTGCTTTTTTTTTGCAGTAAGATCTCTTAATAAGACTAACACTCCAATACTGCTCTTCAGATATCTAACAATTTCAAATTTGCAAGAAACTACGTTGACAAACATTTCTGTAACCACTATGGGTCATTAACGCGTATAATATTTTATTACATAACTTGCACTTTCAATCTTTTTTGCTATCTTATAATAAAAAGCATCTTGAATGAGCTCTTTAAAATAAGAAAACGAGTAAAAATTAGGCTGAATTATCAACATCCCACATAATAAATTTAACGTTTGGAATGTTGGTGTCATCAGATTAACTAGCCATACATAATAACTCTACGAACAGTAGCTAAATTATATTCCTGAAGCTTTAAACAAGGCTGTAAGCCGACATCTTTCCCTTTTTGCCTTTCTCCATCTGTTCTGCAACTGTGATCAAAATTGCAATAACTTTTTGTTGTATGTGAGACAGACTACAGCCGTCCGTTGAAATCCGATGACGATACAGTTGTTTGTAAGACGTCGTTGGCAACTATCATGCAACTTTTTCTCGCCTAGATCTTAGAATTTAAGGTTGAAAACCGGCAGGTTTCTCAACCTTGCAAAAACGGTGATAAAAATCTGATTTTAGGGCACAATGCGAGCCAGAAATCGTGACCGCAGCCGGATCTCTCTACAAGAGCCACTATACTAGATAAACTATATGATCAACGAGAAATAAAATACACAAATTACATACTGCACATGTGTCTCGGCGAATAAAAATTGCGAAGGCCAAACTGTACATTAAAACGCGACGCGAGACGATTTTAGGGCTCATATCAATTGTCATTTTTAATTCCTGTACATACACTTTCTGCAGTACTTACTGGTGTATCACTCTTGTGTACAGGTTACGATACTCATTTTTATGCCTTTGAAACACAAATTATTGTTTACTGCCAATTTACATCGCTGTTCGATATTATACTTCTTCTTATTATCAACATTATTAAACGGCCACGTTGCTATTATCATTACTGTTATTGCTTTCATTATTGCTGTCAATCTCGCCAGCAGATTTCATTCGCTGCCACTTTTGGTTATTTTCTGCTGTTTATTTGTAATGGATAAGTTAACGTATACTCCGCGGAGATAAAATATCATTTATTCAATTAACTATTCGCTTTTTTCCAAAGCAATTTTATTACTGGATACGTTTTTCATTAATCTTTAGAGCTAAAGCTTACTGTAAAGTTATTTAATCAAATTTTTTTCCTTTGAT